GAATCATAATGTACGACATGAAAGAGAAGGTGATAAGTTTGCTAATGTTTATAGGCCACCACTTGATCTTGAGCATGTTATTATGTACCATTCATAAAATTCAAGTGAGGATGAATTTATTTTGGACGTCTCTAAAAAACTGATGAAAAATTACTTCCTAAAGGTAAGAGACGAAAGTTTTTAAATGAATAAGACGGGCAAAACTCCAGTATGAGTTTGAGTTTTACTTCAGTTATTGTTCAACACAAACCCAACTCTAAACTCACCTGCATATATTACGTCATGAAAAACAATAATTTATAGTCCGCATTACGTTGTATGTATGTAGTTGTACTGTCTAGGTTGTTAATAGTAATTGTCGAAAGTTTAAGCATAATTTTATGTAGCTGATTGTGATAGGAAGTTAGCATCTTCAATATTTTTATTTATGGATTTGGATCTATGAAGCTTAAATCATATTTATATACATTTGTGTAAAGTAGTTATTTTTTAGTGATAAATATAAAAAACTATATGTAATAAGATTTGCTTAGAATACCTCAACATGTAGTGTTGATTAATATTATTATAAGAAAATTAGATAGTTCAAAATTTAATTCGAAGCTGATGGACAAGTGTATATAGATGCGGTTGGATAACTTAAAGTTCAACATATGGCTATCTAACGCCTACGTCGTGTTTTCGTGGTATTGCATCTAAGCCCAGTGTATAATGGTGAGGTGCTATGATAGGTTTGTCTCACAAAGCATGGTAAGCCGCAGGGGTCAACCTCATCATGACCCCCTTTTATCTACGAATTTGTATTGTGTCCATACAGTGGTAACGAGCGATATCGATCGCGGTACCGAGCATAGTACAGAGCTCAGTACCGAGCGCTTAGTGACGTGGCATATTTTTATTGGTCTCTGACACGTTCGGTGTCCGGACACAATAATCTCTCTTTATCTACACCGTTAGATGAGCAGTCGAGTGAACCACATACGTGTGGCGTGTATACAATAATGCCGACTGACAATATTTGGCATACCCAGTGAACCTGCCCTGCATGTCAGTTCTTATACTAGCTCATAATGATCTCATGGTATGTAGCTTGTGTATGCTAACTAAAGTACTCTAATATAGCAATTCAGGTTCTCTATTTTACTAGGAGGGTGAAATGGATTCAGGTTCTCTGCCTCATCATGAGTATGAAAAAGATTTAAGTTCTCAACCATATCGAGAGTAAAAATGATTATTGTGAGGGTTTCTCCACCCTGTCTAAGGGCCAAAAGGAGAGACACTAAATTGTTCAGAGTGGAGGACTCCGAGAAGTGGACGTAAGTCAAGTTTTAACTAAACTACTATAAATCTCGTGTATTTATTTTTATTTTTACCGCACTTTAATTTCTTGCAATTTTACTTTACAATCATCCAATGAAGATGGAAGCTTCGAAGATACTTCTCGCTGTTGATGGCTAGTTAGCAAGCTTGTCTATGTTACTATCACTCAACTTGATATATCTTTTTGTCAGCATAGTTAGCTAGCAAATGCAATATTCATAAGAGAAACATTGAATCAATATCTTAAGAATTTTAATATATATCAAGAAGTCTTAAAGAATAATTGATTAATCATACATAACAACCACCAAAAGATTGAATCTTATTCTAATCTTGATTATGTAGGATCATTGGACAAAGGAATCTACTTCAGGATACTGTATTATTGTAAGAGACATTGCTATGAACCTATTTTTCAAGAAAGAATAAAGCATATTGAAGTAAATTGTCGTTTCATCAGAGATTTGGTTCTATCAAAGAAGATCAACACTCATTTCTCTAATAAAGAACAATTAGTAGATATTTTCACCAAGGCTTTGAAACCTTTTTTTCTTCTCCAATGTTTGCAGCAACCTAAAATTTCTTGATATATGTGCTCCAACTTGATGAGTGTAATCAAAGAGAGTTTATCAAATTGGAAAGTTATAAGTTCTAAATATTGTCTGTATTAATATAATATATCCTCATAATTGAGGATAATCTCTTTTTTTTTCTCTTATATCTCAAATATATCCTCATAATTGAGGATAACCTCCTTTTTTTACTAAATATTGTCTTTATTAAAGAAATCTAGTTGAGAATCAACATCTAGATCCGAAGAGCCATTTTTATTAAAGAAACACTGATGGGTACATCGGAGCTTGGAAAGTTTATCAGAGGTGTTGCAGTCGATCTACGGCCATGATTGCACCGATGTATTTTTAAGTTGTCATATATATTTGTCTTTTATTTATTTATGCTTGTATTTGCTTTAGTTGTTTTTTCCCTTTTACCCCTTACTTAAAGGTGGTCATGTGTAAGCCCAAAGGGCGACGTCATCTTTTATTTTGAGTCCCTTGTATGAGGCTAACCCTTATGTTCTCTTTTGATGATGAATGAATGAATGATAAAATTTTTCCGTGTTTGAGTTCTTGTGAGAGCATGAGAGAGATTGAAGAGAGACCCCTTGGAGAGGGATTCGGATCACCCACCAATCTTGGAAGAGTCCGGGTTCATAGTTAGTTTATCTTTTATTGTTCTAATCTTCATCCTTTGTTCTTCCTCTAAGCCACGGTTCACCAATCCCCACCCGCCGGCTTCATCCCACCACCACCACCCTAACCAATCCCTTTTCCCCACCTAACCGCCACCCCTATCACCCAAAACCCTAGTCCAAACTGTCGGCCACCCCTTTGCTTTCCCCTCCCTCATCAATTGTCATTACACCTTTCCTAAATTAGTTCTTCGCATTTTAGGTAACTCAAATAATTACAAATTCAAATCTATTTGAATTTTGAAATTATTACCTAAAATATAAATCCTATTTTAGAAAAGTTTCCAAATCCCTTCCTATTTGAATTTTAAATTAAATTGGGATGAGGTATCTCTTCCCAAATTTAATTCTCTAAATCAAGAAGGCATTAAATGCTTCCATAAACTCTCCCTTTCCCCCCTATGTCGTCGGCCACATTCAATTCCTCATTGGAATTGTTTCCAAAAATCAAGTTACTCTCTTGGAAATAATTCAAGTCACCCCTTCCTCTCTCTTAGTCGAAATCCCCATGCCCCACCTATTTAATTTCTTTCCAAAAGAAAGTCACTTCCATTGAAATTAAATCAAACCCCTCTCCCTCTCTCTTGCCCGCCACCCCCTCTCTCTTTCCCCCTCATTAATTCTTCTCAATCAAGGGGATTACCTAAGGAAATATAAGAATTAAATCCCCTCCCCAAATCTGAACATGTTTTCTCCCCTCTCCTCTAAAAATCTGAGACTAAATTCTCCCTCATGCTCTCACCCTTGCCTGGCCACCTCTCTCCTTTCCCTTTTGAATTTTCAAGATAAGCTCCTCTCTCTCAATAGGAGCCTTCAAGGGAAGTAACGATGATCATCTTCAACACTTCAACCCTTCAAAAACGATGAATAGCCAATCCCGATCTCAACTCCGGATTCGTTTACAATGAGCAAGGGAACATCAACATTCTCTGGTCAAACTTCTTCGACGTCAACCCGGAGGTCGATAACTCCATTGAAGAATATTTGGATAGCATCATCTTCACATTTTCCGAAGCTATTGAAGAACAACTTACCAACGTCCAGTGGCAAATTATTTCCGGTCATCAGCAAGGGTGAACTTCTCTCTTAGTCAAAAAAAAAAAAACTTCTCTCTTAGTCATTTATCTTCTTAATCCACTAATCTTGTAGGTGGTGATTTAATTACAAGGATTCGTGCTTCGCTCTCTGCCTCCGCTTAGTAATCATAGGATTTGAGTTTACTTTATATGTTTATAATCTCAATGTTAATTTAGGGATTCTATTGAATGACTACTTAATTTGCATCTTGTTAAATTTCTAAATTACTTTGGTGATTCAAGTGCTTAGCTTGTGATTTAGCCTAAACATAGCTACCCCTCCTTCGTTTTCTATCATCGTTTAGTAGCTAATAGTTTTAATTATTATTTGCTCTTACTTAAATCGTCCAAGTTCTTACCGCATTCATCTAAAGCATATTTAGTCCTGCATCAAAAACATAATAACAAGCCATCGAAATATTTTTGAAAGAAAACCATAACACCAAAGCATCAAATTATTCAATGAATTTAACAATCAAATGGACTAACAATCAAACGAAACTTAAACCAAAATGAACAAAACAAAGCAATCTATAGGAAAAAGTACATTTCCAGTACAAAATGCTTTCAAAAAATGTTACATTTCAGAAGTAATTCCTGAGATTTGGCAATGCCAGTCTTCAAACAGGTAAGTCTCTTAACATTACCATATAGCTAAATTAGATAATAGTCTCATGCAACTTACTTACAACTACAGATTATTTGATATGCCAAAGGGAGTTAATATTCACTATGTAAGAAACAAAAATCATAGGAGAAATAATTAGAAAAATTTATTTAAGAAAAAATGGCTGATTTGGATTCATATTTGGGAGGCATTTAGGAAAATTTTCTAATTATATTTATGCTATTTAGGAAGTATTTAATTGTTTAGAAAGTTTTCCTAAAATGTGTTTGATTATTTAGGAAACCTTCATAAACAATTAAACATATTTTAAGAAATCTTTCTAAATAATTAAACACTTCCTAAATAGCATAAATATAATTAGAAAACTTTCCTTAAATAAACTTTCATAATTATTTCTACCATGATTTCTCTTTCTTACATAGTAAATATAAACTCCCCTGTGCCCCACAAGGTAGCCCCCTGACATATCATTATTTTGCAAAATACTCTCTTTTTTTAGTATAATTATGCCAGGTCAACTTCCGTAAAAGTGCTTCAAAATACGGAAAAACATATTTAGTGACTCAAAAATAATAAAGAAGAATAGATGAAGGAACCACAGCAACTGAAGCTAAAATGTCATCAAATAAATAAACAATGGTTCTGTATGTGGTGTAATTCATTTCAAGAACACTCAGTATGAAAAAATGCTCCTACATCAGTCTCATTACCTGTGAAATCATCCTGAAATAACCTTAACTTATATTTCCATAAATAAAAACAAATTAAGAATTATCATATGCTTATTAAAAAGTGAGATAATTAGACAAAGTAAGAGGCAATCCTAGTCAAATCCGTGGACAAACACAGCACAAGAGTGATGAAGTTCAGGCTTAAAATATTTGGATGGGTTACTCCACAAATGGATTTGCCAGTACAAATGATCAGAGCCAAACTAAAAGATTAGAGATCACAATTCCTCCTACTTCAAATTTGGATTGCACTCAAATTATGATACCTACTCGAAGTTTTGCTAGGGAATCTGAACCTTCCATGTTATAGATCCATCTATCCAAAGTATTAAGGCTCTGGGAGGAACATCCTCCTCAAATATCAACATGGATTTTTCTTCTCCAATTGTGATAGAGCATGTTCCTTATCATCCTGTGGTACATAATGCAAGTGATCCAGGATCTAAAAAGTCAATTGCTTCTGATAGCAGTCTCTCATCATCAAAATGAAAAGCTCTAGATTCTGTTTGACAGAAGAGGTAGAAATAGGAAAAAAATAATTTAGCATTCATCAAGGCTCACTAGACTTTAAGAAAGACAGAAATCCACCTAATGACTAAAGCATTCTTGACTTACGAGGAGTTAATGGGGCTACGCATCACTTAGAGTGATTTTTTCTCCCTTGCTATCATGTTATCTTTGTTATTGTATTTTGGAAAAACTTTATATTCTAGCAATTCACTGCAAGTGTTTCACAACAACAACAACATCAAGCATTTATCCCATTATGTGGGGTCAGCTATATGAATCTTTTTTCTCCATTGTGCCCTGTTAAGAGTAAAATTCTCATTTAAATCTAATAAAGAAAGGTCATTTCTAATATATTTTCTAACCAAGTCTTCTCAGATCTACATCTACCTTTCTTAACATAAGCTGAATCTCATATATCTACTCTCATAACCGCATCATCAGAAGGCTGTCGTTTTATGTGGCCAAACCATCTAAGATGACTCTCTCTAATCTTATCTGCCACTGGATCTGCTCAAACCTTTTCACGTATATGCTCATTTCATATCATGTCTGTAAGAGTAAAGTCACTCATCCACCTAAGCATCCTCATTTTTGCAACACTTGACTTAATATTATGTTTCTCTTTTAATGGCCAACATTCTGCGCCATAAAGCATTGCAGTCTCACCACCATCTTATAGAATTTTCCCTTAAGTTTGTGGGGTATTTTTCTATAACACAACAAGCTAGATGCATTCCTCCACTTTAACCATCCAACTTGAATTCTACTAATAATATACATATCTATTTCACCATCATTCTGGACAATAGACCCAAGATATCTAAAATGTGTACTCTTATCAATGACTTGATCACCGAAAGTCACAATCGCCACCCCACCCCTCCCAACTAGATCTATTACTACTAAAATTACACTCTATGTATTATATTTTAGATCTACTCAAATGAAAACCTTAAGACTACAAGGTTTACCTCCATAATTCAAATTTACCTTCAACTCCCTCTCTAGTCTTATCAACAAGAAGAATATCATCAGCAAAAAGCATACACCATGGTACATCCTCTTGCAAATGTCTAGTAGGACATCCATGACTAAAGCAAAAAGATATGGGCTTAAGGATGATCCTTGATGTAATCCAACTGAAATAGGAAAATACTTGATAAACCACCTTATGCTTGAACACAACTAATAGCTCCGGCATCCAGAAATGGAAAGATATTCAAGACAAATAGTGAGAACCAAAACAAAAATTTATACATCATTTTGATACAGACCTAGTCATGAGTGGTCATTGAAGTCATATAATTCAAATCCCTCAAATTTCATTCCACTTGCAATTTCTGCACTAGAATATTGAACATGTTTGCTACAACACACATACGATAGACTTAAGCATGAGGGAGTTCACAAATTCCCCACCTTTCTTCAAACAATAATACTCTGTTGAGGAGACCAGTACAAATCTATAGATACATGACATTTAAACACCAAATCCAATGCTTTAGGTAGCTTATTCTAGTTAGGATAATAATAAAACCTTAAGCAAAATCAAATAAAGAAAAGAGAACACAACACACTAAAGATCAAAACACAAAACTCATAATTTAAATAGTTTGGTGAGATCCACTTATGTCCATAATGCAAAGAGATCATACATTTCACCAAGCTTCAAAAGAGAGGTATACCAAGAATTTCTCTTTATAAAAATTTGAGGATAAGAACGAATAGAGATAAAAATCAAAATAGTCCCCTGACTCTTTACAAATAAGTAAAATAGTTTTTGACCATTTAAAAGTCTTATTTTAATGTGACTTTTTAAATAGGAACCTAAATGAACCCACGGAAGAACTAACTTAATTCTCATTTAACAAGTCAATGGACCAAATTGATACTTTTATATAGCTAAAGATTATTTTAATCCTTCAAAAAAGTTAGTACCAATTAGGTCCTCTTATCGAACAGAGATATCAATTTATCTTTTGTCAATGACTAGGAAGGAATGAAATGATCTGCTATGTTTGTCGCAGGATTCCAAAGAAGAGTTTCTCCCTACTATAAATGAAGCTTCTCTTTTAAATGGAACTAAAACTAGTAGCACTTTCTTGGCAAAAGTAAAAACATCCCTCCTACAGGTACTTGAAAAGTTCCTCTCTTCTCTCAGTTGGTAGCCCCTCTTCCCTCTCTCTCATTATTTGTGGATGTTGGATGTCAAACCCTTCCTCTAAGGCTCTAATTATGATGGCAACATAGAATGAGTTTAAAGATATAGAATATATTCCATGATCCCACAAGATATTATAAGATATTTCAAAGTTAACAAAAAATCTCCGAAGATCTCTCAAAATCAATAATGATCCCTTCAAGATCTTTATATTAATACAAGATCTTCAAAATATTCCGATAACCCACAAAAGAAATTTAACCATACGTTTCAAAACCTCAATCAAATATTTGCAATAAATAGAATTACTAAAATATCTTATATCGACTTGATGGAAGAAAATTAACAATAATTTTAACGATCCCTCACTTTAGATAGATTTTTTATATATATATGCTGAGTGGTGAGTAAAAAATACCTCTCTATTCGACATCTCCAAATCATCATTATTAACTGAGATGATTTTTCAACAAGCACGATTTTTGTAAGCATATAAATGGTATTTATCATCCCCCTTGATCTTGATAAGCTACAGAACACCTCTCTTGAGTAAACTTTATATGTAGTTATACTTAAGTTGCATATATTTTGTCCATAAGTGAAAATTGACATTCATTTTCAAATGAATAACACTGTAACAAAATAGTGTAGAATTCTTGTGACTTTATCAAGTTGTTTTAGGAAGGTTTTGAGCCAAATCATTTCCTCGCGAATTTTAGTGGCATGTACATATTAAGCTTTTGTAATTAATGCCATGACTATATTTAAAAATTGTAGCACCCAATGATTGCAATGTTAGCCACGTATAGATATAATAGGCAGTTGTGGGCTCCGAAAATTCGACCCCGGCCTCCCCCGTTGTTTTTCGGGGGAGTTTTAACAGAATTAAGTTCCGGGGTAAATTTTTGGAAGGCAAATGGGTTTGCAGATAAGACACTATCCAGAGATTTCGCCCTCATTTCACGAGGACTTTATGATCTGAGTTATGGTCTCCTATAGGCGCAAGCCCCTCTAGTTAATTACCCCTCCTGATAACGAGAGAGAACTTTCGATTAAGGCTAGTCATCAATCAGATATTTAGAGATACATATATCTAGCATATAGTAGAAGCTTGGGTTTGGAATTGTGGAAATTTAATATTTAAAAGTAGAAATTCTACCATCTTGCACTTAAAGCGGATGGTGGGGGAATGGATGATGGACCCGATCAAGATCCCATGGTTCCATCATCCCGAGACATCATGGTCCCTGGTCTACTTAGTCAGAGGAAGTAGTCGACCCAACCTGACAGAAGAATCCTTGTTGACGGTCATGGGTTGCTTCGTCCAATGGTACATTGTAGACCTGGGGAGAGTGTTTGTCTAGTGGGACAAATTTGAATCCACCTTAGCTTACATAAGGCTTTCTGTCATATCGATTATATCCCATTGATTCATATCTCAAGAATTTGATACCACTAAGGAACGTATTGGCTTTGGCAATTACTGTAACTTAATGGTGCCATTTGACTGTAAAACCACTCGGTTTAGGGGGGTCCGGGTCATAACCGTTTATCCTGTGGTGTCATTTGGTGGAAAAATCGCAGGTCAGATGGTGCGTACAACGTCCTTACTAGCAACAGATTATTTGAGAATGTATCCTAATGATATTTTCGAGTAGGCATTAGCTCTATGTGAGCTGAAGCAAATTTCAATTTATCCACCCCAACAAACTGTTGCGCATGGTGGATGGATTTTGCTTTAAATGATTTATGGTTAGATTTCAATTTTAAATATCTTGGAGTTTTGAGATTTTAGAAATTTATGTGGAGTTTTGAAGTTTTGATGAGCATTTTGATGGCATTTTGAAGATATTTGAAATTAACCCCTCCAATTGAGATATGCATTCAACACAGTCATCATCGGGGTATTAATGGGCATTTGGGAATTTCATTGATTGGATCTTGTCGACTATGTCTACTGGTCAACAGAGGATCGGGTCCCCATGGCCTTATATTTTTATTGATGAATTTCTTTTGTCACAAATCTTGAAGGCCTTATATGAACACATAAAAGAGATATTCTGGTCAACGTCTTGACCATACATATGTGTGATAATTTGAGCGTGTTGACTCCTATCTATCCATATAGAAAGATTGGGCTCGAATTATGGTTTATTTATTGACTCGTTCAACATCCCTAGATGTCATGTATGTACCCATAACGCACTCGCTAGGGCCCATGCGGGTGTATGATTACACATGCACTTCTGTGTACATATGTGTATACATATTACAGTGCCTATGCGGGGGCAATTGACATATTTATAAACGTCTTCTATCCGCTTATACATATGTTGCAGATCCGGTGGCATAGCGTCGTACTATAATCATTTGCCCATTTCATACAGATAGACTATCATGCACTACTTGTTTTCTGGAGGTAGCTTGTTGTGCACTAACGAATCTCCTCTTATCACTAGTAGATGTTGCTATCTACTGTAGTTCTCTTGAATCCTTCTTGTAAATGGTATGTTAAGCGTATAGTGGATTTTCTACAAAAGTTCATAGGAATTTGCATTTGTTGCGTTCTTTATGCATTTTTTTTTGTAGTCTTGCATTTGTTGTGACTTCCTTCTTTATGCTTCCTAATGTTACTTGTGGGCAAGCTACATTGAATGCATATTTTCCCATGTCATCTACTAGTATTTGAATTTATTAAAGCTCCTCTGCGTGTTACTTAGTTATAGCGTCTTGGTGTGTATATCTGCATTCACAAGACTCAACATACCCTTTCATCAGTATTTGAAAGGATTCTTTCATATTCATCGTACAACTGTCGTCAATGCTTATGG